AGCGCTTTGCTAAGCGTCGTCGGGACGAGGCGGTGGAACTATGGAGTAGCGGGAGAGAGAGGGGCGCCAAGGGCTTGGTGTATCCTCTTAGGGCGCCCCCTACCCTCTATATATAGGTGGAGGGGCGTGGGAAACAGCACCTCCAAGCCCTAGGGTGCAGCTAAGGGGAGAGGACTGGGACTGCAAGTCCAATCCTATTCCTACTAGGACTCCTTCCTTTTTTGCCTTCCCTAGCCACATGGGCTTTTGAGGAATTGGTGCGCCTAGACCGAAAAGGCCAGGGTACCTCCCCGCAGCCCATTATAGCCCTTGGGTCGTGGTGGACCCACTTGTGGACTTTCGAACCCTTTTGGAATCCTCCGGAACCTTCTGCAAGCTTCCCGGTACAATACCGAAAAAACTGCACCTTTTTTTGGAACCCAAAATATAACTTCCTATATATAAATCTTTACCTCTTGACCATTACGAGACTCTTCGTGACGTCTCGGATCTCATCCGGGACTCTGAACAACATTTGGTTACCACTCATCAAATATCCCAATACTACTCTAGCGTCAACGAACGTTAAGCGTGCGACCCTGCGGGTTCAGGAATTATGTAGTCATGACCGAGACACCTCTCCGGTCAATAGCCAATAGTGGGACATGGATGCCCATATTGATTCCTAGATATTCCAGAAGATATTTTATCGGTTGAACCTTTATGACAGCATACGTAATTCCCTTTGTCTGTCGGTATGTTACTTGCCCGAGATTCGATCGTCGGTATCTCTATACCTAGTTCAATCTCGTTACCAGCAAGTCTCTTTACTCGTTCCGTAATACATCATCTTGCAACTAACTCCTTAGTCACTTTGCTTGCAAGCTTCTTTTGATGTGTATTACCAAGAGGGCCCAGAGATACCTCTCTGTCATACGGAGTGACAAATCCCAATCTCGATTCACGCCAACTCAACAGACACCTTCAGAGATACCTGTAGAGCATCTTTATGATCACCCAGTTATGTTGTCACGTTTGATAGCACACAAGGTATTCCTCTGGTATTCGGGAGTTGCATGATCTCATGGTCGAAGGAATATGTATTTGACATTAAGAAAGCAGTAGCAATAAACTAAACGATCAAATGCTATGCTAACGGATGGGTCTTGTCCATCACATCTTTCTCCTAATGATGTGATCCCATTATCAAGTGACAACACATGTCTATGGTTAGGAAACCTTAACCATCTTTTGATCAACGAGCTAGTCTACTAGAGGCTCACTAGGGACACGGTATTTGTTTATGTATCCACACATGCATTTAAGTTTCCGGTCAATACAATTCTAGCATCAGTAATAAACCTTTATCATGAATAAGGAAATATAATATAACAACTTTATTATTGCCTCTAGGACATATTTCCATCAAGGGTATCCCAGGATGGCATTGTACGGGAGGCTGATATGGGCGACGTCGAAGTTGATGAGCTCGGTGTGGTAGTTGTCGGCTTGCCAAAGATGACAGGGAGGCGCACCTGTCCCAGGGGACGGTGGACCAGTCGGTCACCCCAGAGAACGGCTTGGTAGGCATGAGCTGATCATAGGGCACCTGAAGCATCTCAAACGTCTCGACGAAAAGAACGTTGAGCCATGCGCCACCAGTGACGAGAGTCTTGGTGACATAGACGTTGCTGATGGTGGGCATGTAGAGCATGGGGAGCGCATCGGTGGCGGCCAAGCACTTGAGGTGGTCCTTGGAGTCGATGGTAATGGTGTACTGCGAGCACTTGAGGGGACGCACGGCCTCAAGCTTCGGGAGGGCTGCATTCACCTCACAAGAGAACTGCTTGAAGATGCGGTTTTATGCAGGGGCTTGGGCACCAACTAGGGATGCAGGCGATCGCGCGGGGCTCCTGGAAGCCCCCAACCCCCTCGTCCTGATGGTTGTCGTCGTTCCTCCTTGGTGGCGGTGGCAGCGAGGGATGCCGGCATTACCCTGTGGGTGGGCCTCACGAGGCTGGTCACGTCAGGGACCGTCGCAAGGTTGATCACGCGCCGGGGATCCTCATGAGGCTGGTCATGCCAGTCTTGATGAGGGTTGCGGTTGTCCCAGCGGCCTCCGCCGCGGCCTCCTCCATGACCGAAGCCACGTTCGTCATGCTCGGGGCGGCGACCAAGGCGCTCATCGCGGATAACCCTGAGCTCCTGGCAGTCATTGGTGTTGTGGCTATGCACGTTGTGAAATGCGTAGAACGGGCGGTTACCCCTGCGAGGTTCACCATGGTCATGGCCGCGCTCCGTCTCGGGCTCTGCTCCCAGTACCATGGGGCCCTTGCACCTTGCTTCCTTAGCCTTGGCCTTCTTGTCCTCGGGGTCGACCTTCGGATGCTCGGGGAGGGAGAGGCGGCCCTCCTCGGCCTTTGCGCACTTGTTCACCAAGTTGAATATCTCCAGGGCCGAGCACAAGTTGTCATGGATGGCGATCTCCTCGCGCATCTTGAAGTCCCTGACACCATCGGTAAACGCCGAGATGATGGCCTCGTCCGACGCCTTAGGGGTTTTGAGGCGAACGTTCGTGAAGCGTTGTACGTACTTGTGGAGGGTCTTTCCAGGCTGCTGCTTCACGCGCCACAGGCCATTCACCGCGGGAGCGCGGTCGCGGGTGCCCTGGAAGTTGGTGATGAAGCACTCGCGGAGCTCGTCCCAGGAGGAGATCGACCCCTCCGTGAGGTGCAGGAGCCAGGAGCGCGTGCCATCCTTGAGGGCCATGGGAAACCAGTTTGCCATGACCTTGTCATCGCCGTTTGCCGCCTCGATGCTCGAAGAGTAGAGCTGGAGAAACTCAGCAGGTTCGGGGGTGCTGTTGTAGCATGGAGGTAGGTCTGGCTTCAACTTGCTGGGCCAAACGGCGCAGCGCGGCTCTGGGGTGAAGGTGCGGTACCCCGCTGCACTCACAGGAGTGGCACGCGAGGGGAGATCGATCTTGACGTCCACACGCCGCAGCCTTAGGCGGCGCGCGGTCTTGATGCTGGCACGGCGGTGCGGGGAGCGCACGTGCGTCACCTTGCGGCCGCTGCACCACCTGACAGCTTGCCTCATCCCGTGCTCGCGACGGCGCCCCGGTAGCAGGTCATGCGGAGGCATGTCGTGCCTAGGCTTGGGGTCGGCGTCACACAGAGGAGGAGGCGAAGGTGCGCCGTGGGCCACGTCACCCACCCGGGAGGGCGGCGGTGGAGTGAGTGGGAGGGCGTTGGGGACTCACCGGCGGCGTTGACAGTTCGGTGATGCGGCCCAGCCAAGCGTCGTAGCCCTCGTCGGCGAGGCGGTAGCGTAGCATCTCGCGCGCCATGAGCAGCGCAGCCTGCGCATTCACCAGCCCGCGACAAGCGTGGGAGGATGACACCATGGCGGGAGTGAGAGAAGGAGTGGAGGTGCGGCCATCGCACCGCACGAAGGGTGGCAGCGACGAGTCTTGCTGCTTGTGAGCAGCAGGGTCGGTGGCAGCGTTAGCTGCGGGAGAGGCAGAGCGGCGCGGGACACCGCGGCCTACGGGCACCGTCTGGGTGACTCGAGCAGCTCGGAGCTCGGCGCAGACTCGGCAGGCGTCGGCCATAGGAGCGGCAGGACGGAGAAGAAGCGGAGTAGGAAGGGAGATTTTGACACGCCCCTACGTGGCGCGCCAAATGTCGGAATCGAGCTCCGCGGACCCAAGCAAGGTTCGAACTTTGGGGCGTGTGCGAAGATCTAAACTAGCCCCAGCCTTAAGCCCATCGCCCCATGGCCTTGCCTAATCGAGTTTGTGCGAGCGGGGAAGGAAGGACACGATAGTTTACCCAGGTTCGGGCCACCTTGTGGTGTAAAACCGTACTCCTGCTTTGTGGTGGATTGACCTCACGAGGAGGTTGTGGATGAACTAGTACAATGGATGAGCTGCCTCGCGAGGGCTCTGGGTGTGAAGGTGGAATGGATCCGGTCGTTCTCTACGGTGGAGACTAGCCTATACTTATAGTGGCATTGGTCATCTTCCCTCATAACTTAGGCGGGAAGGGATTCCACAACGGCCAATTTAAAAGGGGACAAGAAGTACATTTTATCCGGGAGAAAGGTGGTCTTCGCTTGCAAAGCTTCTGGTCGTGACGCAGAGGTGGGCTCGGCGATGACATCCGTCCTACCGAGCTCGTGGTCTTGGTCTTGTTGCACTGGAAGAAACCTTTGGGGGATTCCTTGGAAACCCGCGTACGTCCTTGCCTCCTTAGCACCAAAGAGAAAACTGTCCTTCACTGCATCCGCTGGCGCTCGTCTGGCCCTGGTCGTCATGGCTCACGTCATTGAGAGCCTCGTGAGGCTGGGTACCTGCATAGAAGTCCCCGCTCCTCCGGAGACAGGCCCGGGGCACCGCTCCTCGAGAGGTCTTGGCGTCATCCGCCTCGCAAGGGGTCCTCGCAAGGGCCTTGTCCTGGGGGTTTTATAGCTGGGCCGCACCGGGCCGTCGAGGAGTCCGCGCGCTGGGCTGCACGCAGACAAGTCTGGGTACCCCAATCTCAGAACGCCGACACCAATAAAAGTGATGAAGGAGTTCTCACTTTCTTTGACAGTGCCATACAGCCAGCATAAAACCTCGTCAGCAAAGGCCAAGCATACACCACCCTGAATATTACAGTGGGAAGTACAAGAAAGTAATTAAAACCCATATATTTAATTAAAATTTAGCTAGTCAAATTCTTGTGTGTACACTGTACAAGATTAGAGGCAATACTCTCGAAAGGTGCAGTTTTTTAGAGAAAAGGTCCGAGCACACAACTTACATTGAAATCTACTCCATTTAGCAACATTTTCATGTGATGTGCCCGCGCATTTGAAGATCGAAGTTTGATCAATTAGCAATAAAAATGTGAATTATATGGCAGAAAAGTTGCATAGCTAGAAAATATTTTGGACCTCATGCATCTGACACTGGTACTGGATACAGTATGCTCCTAAAAAAAGGACACTGGTACTAGATGTCTAGATGGCACAGAGCTTTATTTCCCGCGAAATGTCCAACTTCCCTTGCACCACTGCACAACAGATTTGGGCGGTGAAGACACCGGCACTACCGACAGGCGCGTCGAGCTGTGCGGACACCACCACTGCCGCCCGCGCTTGAATGATCCTCCTGCCTCGTCGTGGTAGGAAAACCCATCTGCCGTCGTCGGCAACAGGCCGGCGCGTATCTGCTCCGGCTCGACGTGCTCGTGCTGCTCCGAGAGCTTCTTGGGCAGGTAAAACGGGGAGCTGTGCCAGACCAGCTCCAAGGGCAAACCGGACGAATTCTGGAGCGGGAGGATGTAGAAGTGGGCGCACGCCATCAGGATCTCAGCGGGCGACCGTGACCGTGGCGCGGCGCGGGGCCGCGTCGGCTCGAAGCCGTAGCGGTGGCAGCGTTGGACGGCGCGAACGAAGGACGGGTACATGGCAGACGGAGCAGGGGAGTTCCTTCCGTGGACGGCCATCTCGGCGAGGAGATCCTTCATGGCCTCACGGGCAGCGCCGAACTGGGGCGGGAGGAGCTCGACGCAGCTCGTGGCGACCCTCATGGTGTCCAGGGACTCGGAGAAACGGAACGCCGCCATCATCTTGAAGTTCTTCTCCCACGCCACGTCGTGCTCGTAGGACATCCACAGGCACGCCGCCGCCGCCGCCGTCCCGTCGCCTCCTTCGAGCTCAAGCCACCATGGCTGGAGCAGCATCACCGCGGTGCCGCCCTCCATCCTGAGCGACAGTTCCGCCGCTTCCCCAGCCGCCAACGACCGCGCGAACGACGGGAGGAACATGAGGGTCTTGGGACGGCCGCCGCACCTGACGAGCTCGAAGAAGCCGTCGGCGCCGTCGGCTATCCTCTCGAACCTCCTTACCGCGGAGTCGGTCAGATCGTCCCCGGAAGTTGTACCCCGGCTGAACGGCATGAACCGCTTGGCTGCTCGCGCCACGCGCCGTGGGAAGGAGTTGCTTCGCGCCTTCCCCAGCTCCTCCAAGGCACTGGTGTTTCTTTTGTTGGAGCGTATGATGCCTTTGCCTTCCTTGATCACACGCTTCAACTTGGCCTTCCAACGGAGCAGCGGGGCGTGCGTGACCTGCCAGTCTTCGGAGATGGCGATGATGGTCTCGAGCTTGAGCACGGCCATTTCTACTCGATCCACCTTCATCTCGCCGGTCTCGTTTTCCCCTGATAAAAGCAAACATAATCTTTGCACTGCCTCACCGGCGACGGCAGAGCAGACTGTGTCTGCCATTGATTTGCTCTTTGGAATCAGCAGGTAAAGTTGGGTGCTGGTGAAGGTGGTGTGTGTGTGGGCGGCGGGGGGGTATTAGGTGCGAAACAACGACGGGCGGACTCGGCGATTGCAAGCTGTGTGGTGTATCTTAGACTTTGTCAACTCAAGCAGACTTATAGTAGTGGTATAGCAACGTCATTTGGAGCATCTAATTGAGTTTGCTTACTACACCGGCTTCTCTTATTTGTTCTTTGTCTTCCGGTCAGAGCTGCCGACCCAAAAGGAAAAGCCAGATGTCACTGGTGTCTATAACTACCGTCACTTTCTGATTTCTTCTTGGAGCGTCTATTTCTCGAGCGACTCGATGATGTTATTTTCTACCACTCCCTCAGTTGCTTCTTTTATTGACCATCTTCAACATTGATCCCTCATCAAACATTTGAAATTGATGGGGAGGTGGTTGTAAACAGTCAACAGTCATTAAACATGTTAGACGTCTTATGTGTCTAGTCATAAGTATCTAACAATACAAGATGCAAATGTGCTAGATACACACATTTGAAGTTACAAACAAAGTAATAAATTCGTTAAGAAAACAGATCAAGAACATGGTACAACCACGTCTCATGGGTTTTGATGAGTTTCCCTACAAAAACTTATAAACCCTGCTTTCAATATAAAAATGAAAATGCAGTGCTCCGGCCGGTTCTTGGGTAAAAAAAAAAAAGCATGGACTAACCATGCCGTATCAGATGTTCTCCATAATAAGCTGAAAATAAACTCTTAGCATATACCGCTAGATTACATAACTCCAAGGGGTGTTCTTCACATGTTACTATGGCATGGCAGCGTCCGTCTCTAAAATTCAATATCATCATTGGTGCAAAAGTTACACATCGTTGGTGCCTTGAGCGATGAACCGTTACAATGGCTGTGTAACTCTGCACTTCCCTAATTTATAACTTGGTATTACAGAAGAAATACAGTGTTCGATGGCTTCAAAATCTCTTTGGGCACTCAAAGAGCAAACCGTGACCATAGCTGCCCCCAGTTACCGACCGACCATATAGCATGACCCTGTCAGTCTCTTATGCATCCGCATCAGCCCCTCGAACTATAGCTCAAGCCATTCTAAGACGCGACGCTTCTACGTAAGGTCCGTCAAAACTGTCCGTTTAGCGAAACATCAGCGCCGAAGCTTTGCTTGGGAACAGATTAGTTTGTTGCACCGGTGAGCTGTTCCACATGCAGAGTTATTGCATCGGGGCACGGAGATTGGGCTTTTAATAGTTCCAATCGATGGAACGGGTGTGCAAATTGCAGAACGTAGTCTTCATCTACAAGAGATGGGGCAAACGATATCACGCACGTGAAGAGAACTACTCAGGATTATGAATGGCAACAAGTGCATATTTTTTAGAGAGGAAGGTGAATGCATATAGTAGAGTGGTGAAGGAATTCTCACTTTCTTTGACAGTGCCATACAGCCAGCATAAAACCTCGTCAGCAAAGGCCAAGCAGACACCACCCTGAATATTACAGTGGGAAGTGCAAGAAAGTAATTAAAAACCATATATTTAATTAAAATTGAGCTAGTCACATATATGTTGCATAGCAAGTAATTTGGTACTCCTACAAAAGAGGGTAGTTATCAATTATCCTACGTGTCAAAACAGAAAAGGCGAATGCGGCATCAGAGTAATGGTAAGTGTACACTCCTTTCCACTATTATTTAAGATTTTGTAAGACAAACCAGTTATTCGACTTTTTTATATAGGTTATTATGCTCTTCTAAGTTCTAATATTATACTCACACTCATGTTCTTCCTTTACATATCAGACTCCACTGTTGTGAATAAACAACACGGAATTAATTTGGTATACCTGCCAGTAGCTCTTTGCTTTCACTTTTTGTGTGATATCTTTAGTTCTTAGTCTCTCAGTTCGTATAAGTACACCAGCATCATTCCTGCAAAGCCAAAAAGAGAGGAGTGTAACTTGATCAAGTTAAAACCAATTTTGAACATTACAGCCAATCCATCTACACATCGCAAACAACAGTGAACAGAGTCAGATAGAAAAGGTAATCGTACTCCCCTTCCTAATTGTATCAACCATATAGCCAATGTTAGAGGATTGGCGACACGCCGGACAGCCTTCGCTGGAAGTGGACTGAGAATGGAGCATACTCGGCCAAGTCTGCCTACCTCGCCACCTTCCACGGTTCCACCCATCGCCAGGCCTGGAGGCTTACTTGGAAGTGCTGGGCGCCACCACGGGTGCGCTTCTTCCACTGGCTTGCGAACCTCGACCGCTGCTGGACTGCCAACCGCCTCGCGCGCCGTAACCTGCCTCACCCACCCTGCTGTCTGCTATGCGATCGGGCCCCAGAGACACTACACCACCTACTCCTGGGATGCCCCTTCGCTCGTCAGGTGTGGCATGAGATCCTCTCGTGGCTGCGCCTCCCTTGCCTGCCGCCCAACAACGACGCCACGCTTCACGACTGGTGGCGCCTGGCTAAACGAAACACGCCCAAGCCGATGCACAAAGGCCTCGCCTCCGCCACTCTGCTCGTGCCATGATGATTTGGAAACATCGCAATGGCTGCGTTTTCAAGAGAGACCGCCCTTCGGTCACCCTCCCTGATCGCCACGATCAAGGCCGAGGCTGCTCTTTGGGCCAGAGCAGGGGCCCTTGGCCTCCGCGTCATCCTGCCCCAAACCTGGGATGTTCACTAATGCCCTGGTATTTGCCCTGTAACTCGCCTCCTAGGAGGATTCTAACAAACCCCCTCTTTTCAATACAATGAAACGCAAGTCTTCTGCGTTTTCTCGAAAAAAAAATTGAATGCCTTTCTGATTGAATGCCTCATTATTAAGCAAAAACCACAGGTTATGTAGCATGCAGTGTGTTAAATGTGTAGAACAGAAGACCATACTGGGTGGGATATGTTCATACCACTAACAGTAAGCACAAAGGTTTGAACAAAATGCTTAAAAAGTGGTCAAACAAATTAAACTGAAGGAACTACGAACTCAAAAAAGTTATGTATCATTAGGCCTGTTATAATAGATAATTTGATACTCCCTCCGTTCCTAAATGTAAGTCTTTGTAGAGATTCCACTCGGTGGACTACATACGGAGCCAAATGAATAAATCCACACTTAAAATGCATCTATATACATCCGTATGTAGTTCATTGTGGAATCTCTACAAAGACTTATATTTAGGAACGGAGGGAGTACATACTAAAGCTCTGATGTATGGTGCATTCAAATCGAGAGTATGGGGCTGAGAACCCAACGAAGAATTCAGATAAGCATCGCAATTTGAAATATACACGAAATGGGTTTCCTTCTGTATCTAATTGACAGCAATAGTATAGCAATTACCCATACCATAATCCTTGCATATATGATAACCATAAAGACTCTTGAAAACCATCTCATATTAAGGACTTAGGACTTATTCTCTGACAGGAAGCTTGAAGTACTAACAAAGAGTGCCGTGATGATTGAATAATACCTGAATCCCACAACAACATACGACACGCCAGCAAGGAATGATTGAATCTGTAATATTTAGTAAAGTAAAAGTTAATGTTTCAAGCTATATAGAAGATATGACTTCTGAAGATAAAATACTATGAAGCTGAAGTTGTGATCGCAGAGAGAATCATAACAAGATCGCCATGTAAAGTTGTTAGCATATATCCTCAGTCCCCGCATATAAGAAACAAATCATCCTCAGAACTTAAGGGAGTCAATTAAAAATCTAAGAAACTTCATAGAAGGAACTTTTCTAAGATCATATGGAGCACAGTTTCAATATAGAATTTCACGCTGTGGAAGAGAACAGAATAAGAAGTTGCAAATGATAGTTATGATAAAAAAAAATGGTGTCATGCAATTAGCTAAAAAATAAGAGGACAAGAAATTACCCAAAACCTAAGTAACTTCTCTCTCTCGAATTTTTCCACCGTATGATACTCCAGCTGTTACAAAATTCAGAGTGGTGACTAGATTGAATATATGTGGCATCAGAACACTCAAAGCTCATGGAAAAGAAGAACAACCTCTCTGCTTGTTTTTAACTCCACATAGAACCGCCTACCATCGTCGGTTGAATCACAGCAGTCCATCTCAGCACCCATGACAATGCGATGCGCGCCCAATTTCGTCTTTATTACAGAACAATACTCTACATTTGCATCAATGCCGCTTCCGTCTTCATCAATGGAGTTCTCAGTGGCAAGATTTTCAAAAGAATAGCCCCAAAAGCATCTGAGGATCAAGCATGGGCACCAGGAAGAAAAGGTATCAAATTGATATTCACTACAAATTCATCCGCTGTAGTGATGACAATTCCGAATATGATTACAAACATGAAGGCACCAGCTAATAAAACAGGCAAATGACGAGAATGACATGCAGCCCTTCACACATTTCCAAGCTTCCCAGAGATACTTACATTTTAGAAAAACTATATTTTATTACATGATATCAGATCAGAAAAATGTCAAAGAATTAAATCAGCATTAACAACTCAAATTGGAAAGATTATGTTATGGCCGGTTTAGCTAGGCCCACCGGGCATCTTAGCCCACAAGTTATCTTAGGTTAATTCTTATGCAAGTTATCTTAGGTTAATTCTTATGCAAGTTATCTAGGTTATAAACATAGGCTGTAAGACTCTTTTCGAAATTAAGCAATAAAGATATATCTATCCTATTGCCCGGCTCCAGAGGAGCCGGAAACCCTAGCCCTCTCCTGCCCTAACCGCCGCCACCCTTCTCCTCCCTCGCGACGGCGCCGACGCGCCGGAGCTCGCGTGCTCGCCCCCGACCTCCGCTGTTCTGCCCCTACAACCTAACGAACCGAGTCGGTAGGAACCCTAGTCCTACCAATTTGGTATCAGGTACCCGGGTTTCGACCATGTCTTCGCCGCCGCCACCACCGCCGCTGCCCGTCAACTCCACCACCGACGCTGCCGCTAACTCCTCCACCGCCGCCGCT